CAGATATAGCAGCTGTCTCCAAGAAGATTAAATAGTCAAAAGGCAAAGATCAGGCTCTATTACTAAAAGGGGCATTTGATCTTAGGAAAATGTTCCATTTCTCTGGGCCAATGTCCAAGTACCTGAGACCAAGTTGACTTTAGCTCTGACCTCAGTCTCACTTCATTTTTCAGCTGACCAGCCCGTCCATGCCGCTGCCTGCCGCCTGCCGGTGCCTTCAGTGCTGGCGCCGTGGTGTGTCTGCACTTGAGGAGGCTGGAGGGAGTGGCACAGCTTTGTATCTGTGTGGTTTCTTTGCTTGATGGGGATGAAGTGTAGACTGGAATGTTTTCATATATATTTCACATTTTATTACTTGTCGTTGTGACACACGATTGAGAATCTGACTTAATTGTCTGGTGATGCTGACTTTTTCAAGTCAGAAGTGATGCCTTATGTAAGAGCACAGTGAAGTATTTTGCTGGAAACTTTTTCAAATATTCACTAAACTACTATCTCTAATTCAATGGCAATCTAGTAGGCATAATCTCCTTATATATTGATGCTTTGTTGCCAGCTTTCAATCATATTGTTTAAGAATCAGAAAAAAAAATCCTGTAGGCAAGAGATTATTAGCTCTGTTAAAATCTGAGATTTAGAAAAATTAAGAGCATTTTCTAAATTCCTGTACTGAGAGACAAATTTCTGGTCCATATATGTTATTCTTTTTAACAAGAGGTAAAATAGGTAAATAGATGAATAAGTAAATACATAAATACAAATATGTTCAGTTCCTAATAGTTACTAAAATATTATTCTCTGAAAGATAGCTCAGAAATATTTTCTTCATTCTATAGCTCATGGGACAGTTTGGACAAGGTAGAAATGAAATCACTTGCCTACCAGTATATTAACAGAAAAACTGTTAATTCTTCTAAATTCTTCTAAATGATGTATTGAGATAGAAGCATATTGTTTCAGACAGACCTAAGTGCTCCAAGTGAAAGGAAATGGGGTGACATGCTATACAGTGGCTAGGGGAGGATGAACAAAATGTTAACCAGACTGGCTGCAGAAGGCCTTTTAGTGACATCAGAGCTGAGACCTAAATGAGGAGGGGGCGCCCTTGTGATATTTAGGGAAAAATTGATCCAGTGTGTGCAAAGTCCTGGAAGGGGCCAGGACTAGTGAAGAAGAGGACAAAAAGAAGGCCAGTGGTTGTTTATTTGTAGCACTTGGCATTGTCTAAAGCAATGTTACTTGTGAAGTTATGAATTGTCTATCACCCCTACAAGAATATAACCTCCAAATTGCCAGGGATTTTGTTTAGCCCTGTTTACTATTCTTTTCCAGCACCTACCACATGTCTGGCAGGTAAGAGGTATATAGTAATATTATTGAATGAAAGAAAAAATATTCTAGGTATACGAAAGTCTATTCAACCCAGTTCCTGACTTCGCAGGCAAATTGACACCCAGCAGAGGTGAAAAGACTTTCAGCAGGAATGGGACCAGGCCTAGGTTTTTGGCTGATGGTCCTCTGATTTTTCCCCTGTACCATCCTACCCTCTGCTGTTTAAATTGCTAAGAGCCAGTTAAGTATTTTAAAAAGCACAGGTTCTTCCAGATAGAATTTCCTGCTTTCTGGATTTCACATTCTAAGGTCATATTCAAAAAATCTTTGCTTCTTGTGTGTTCCAATTAAAAAATAAAAAAAAAGAAAAGAAAGATATTTTCAGCCCCAAAGAAAAAACCAGATTGTGCCTTTTCTGTAAGCATTAAAACCAATTTGAGACTATAACTCAAAGCAAAACAAAACAAAACAAAACCTGATTTTAAAATGGGCAAAAGATTTAAATAGATATTTCTCCAAAGAAAATAAACAAATGGTCAATAAGTATAAGAAAAGATGTTCAACATCATTAAGTATGGAGAAATGCAAATCAAACTACAATACAATGAGACATTACCTCACACCTGTTAGGATGGCTATTATTTTTTTAAAAAGCTAACTGTTGGTGAGGTTGTGGGGAAATTGAAGCCTTTGTACACTTTTAGCATGAATGTAAAATAGTGCAGCAGCCATGGAAAACAATGTGGAGATTCTTTAAAAAATTAAAAATAAAACTACCATATGATCTAGCAATCCCACTTCTGGGTATATACCGAAAATAATTGAAATCAGGATCTTGAAGAGATATCTGTACTCCTATGTTTACTGCAGCATTGTTAAATAGCCAAGATATAAAAATATCCCAGATGTTCATTAACAGATGACTGGATACAAAAGATGAGCCACATACATACAATGGAACAATGCATACAATTCATACATACATACATACATACAATTCAGCTTTAAAAAAAGAAGGAAATTTTGCCACTTGTTACAACACGGATAAACCTAGAGGATGTAATGCTAAGGGAAGGAAGTGGATCATTGAAGGACAAATAATGTTTGATTCTATTTTTACATGGTATCTAAAAATAGTCAAAATCAGAGAAGCAAAGAATATAATACTAGTTACCAAGGGCTGAAGGAGGGAGGGGAAAAAGGAGAGTTGTTGCTCAATGGGTATAAATTGCTGTTATGCTAGATGAATAAGTTTTAAAGATCTGTTGAACAACATAGTGTGTATGGTAACAATGTGGTATTTTTCACTTCAAAATTTGTTTCAAGGGTAGATCTCATCTTACATGTTCTTGCCACAAACAAGTCCCTCTTCCCCCAAAACAACAAAAACAAAAGAATACGAAGAAATTCTGGGAGGTAATGGATATGTTTGTTCCCTTGATTGTGGTGATGGTATCATGAATGCTTGCATATGTCCAAATTCATCAAATTGTACACATTAAATAGGTGTAGTTCCTTATATATCAATTATACCTCAATAAAGCTGTTAAATAAAAAACCAATATAAAACGTTCAACTTGGAGTTCTGGTGACTAACATGAAGGTATGATGATGAAAAATGATTTCATACATTTATCACCCTCTGGGACCCCCACCTCCCTGGGCTGCTGGCAGTGCTCAGAGCCTATCTCAGCCTGGCCTGAAAGTATCCAGCCATGTACTATGAAAAACAGAGACATCTATTGAAGAAGATACGAGATACCAGAAACATTGTACGTAGGACAATGATGCCTTGATCCCCTTCAAGTGGCACCTTGGGACCTCACACAGCTCTCCTATACTCTCTTCCACTGTTCAAAACAATCTGCAAAATCCTTTGTTAGAATCACTCTAACTGCCCTGTTGTATTTTCCTGAATCTCATCAATGTTCTGAAATACCTTCCCTTTCAAAGGCAATTTTAGTTTTGGGAAAAGTCAGAAGTCACAGAGTGCCTAATCTGGGCTTTAGCGGGGCTGAGTCACCTGGGAGATTGGATGTTTTGCCAAAAAACTCTGCACTAGGCACTATGCATGAATAGGCAGACATGTTGTCTGATGAAGTTGCCAATCCCCAGCTGCACATAGCTGCGGCCATTTTCATCATATTGCATCTCTCAACTGACAAAGAACATGCAGATACTGTTCCTTATTAATTGTTTGGCCTAGAGAGCATACTCATGATGAACAACACCTTCCCAATCAAAACACACAGTTAACATGACCTTGTTTTTGCTGCAACTTTGCCACACCTGTTTCAGCCATTGAGAACGAGGCAACTTCCATTGGGAAGACTGAGCCTTCGTCTCCGGTTATGCCCTTCTTGAGGAAATCTGGTTCATTGGTAGCAGTTTGAATCAAGTTATTAGCAACTGGAGCACAATGTTACTTCTCCTCCGGTAGCTTAAGCCACAGAATGAATTTTGCCACAACACTTTTCATGCCAAGATCTTGCATCAAAATCTTGGACACAATAGTTTTTGCAATCTCCAGATCAGCTTCTAGTTCTCACACTGTCATTTGCCACTTTTTGTTGATTGCAGCCCATACACATTCAACATTCTCAGGTGTTCTGCTTGTTGCAGGCCTTCCAGAACACGGATCACTTTCAACAGATTCTCGACCATCTTTGAAGTGTTTGTTCCACACTTACTTGCGCTGCTCTCATTGCGTCCTCCCCGAAAACCTTCTGAATCATCCAAATAATTTCCATGGAGGAATGTTCAAGCTTAATGCAAAATTCAATGCAGATTCATTGCTATACTTGCTCAGTCATTTTGAATGTGACAGCCACACAATACACATGTTCATTCAGCAGAGCCTACCACCTCCACTGACTAATACAATGAAGTTGTCATTGTTCACCCACACACATTCCAGTCCACTCTCTTTGGATGTCAGGTCACATCAATGTCATGCAAACCATTCTCATTATATTAAAAATGGCTGGACTTTGTTCCCAAGAGACCTCATATATGATTGTTGAGAGGATAAGTGAAAAGTAGAGAAAATATGTGCATGACGATAGGTATCTAGTATGAAAGATATTTGGCTTGTGAACTCATGGCAGGCCTGTGTTTAAATTTAACAGACTCTAAAGAAATATTTGTTGAGTTTAACCAATTTACTTGTTACAGGGACTTGAACTCCACCTCATGGCGTCTAACAAAACTAAAGTATATTTTTCAAGATAAATATTCAAAATAAAGTAAAAAGCTCATCTGTTCGTGTGTCACATATTTATGTGCTACAAAGGATCTATTAATTAGAGTAAAAGAAGATGGGATGTTTTTTGTCCACTAATAAAATTTAATTATACTTAGAATAGGTTATTGGATATTATAAGGGAACTGGAGAGATAAGGAAACACAGTTATATGTGCTGTAGTATGTAAAGTTCCTTATCACAATAAAAGGAATCCACTCACCATTACATAATAACAGTCATGAACATCAGACTAGCTGTGTTCTCTGCCAGTGGGTGGTTTGGGAGTTATGTGAAGTGTTTGTTGTTACTACAGGTAATAAAAGTGACAACACAAACATCACTTTTCCTTTTGACCAGCGCAAACAGAAACCAGCGTCTGCATCTGAGCAACATGCTCCCAGCGATGCCAGATCTTTTGCTCTGATATTCCAAACTTTAGCTCTCTTGATTAAGCCTTTCTGGAAGAATTTGAGGAATTTCTGTATACATTTTAGAAATTACAGGTAAATTATATGCTTTTATTTCTCCTTGCCTTTTTTGTAGGCAGTGGTGATTAAAATTTTAAGTTTTATAATTAGGTTTTTAAATGAGAGAATATTTAACTTTTATTTAAATGTGGAAGATTGCTTAATGGTGTAGAAAGCATGCCAAAAATGGTAAAGAAAGCAGAAAAAGCCTGAACTAAATAATTTTTATCTTGGTTACTATGGGGAAGGTAAGTGAACTTGTTTTTCTTGCACAGGCATTTCTGCAGATGTTTCTAAGATATTCTAGGTTTGAGAGGTTGTTTAGAAAATTATCTTCAAGTTCTGTAGCTTGTGGGCCATAATCAGACCTGGGACTTGATCCTTAAAGCCCTGGGGGACCACTGGAGGGTGTTAGGCAGAGGGTTAGTATGATCAATCTTAGATTTTAGAAATAATAACAGACATTTCTTAACTATGGAGGCCAAAAGGAGAGTGGCTCACAGTGGGGCAGGACCAGAGGGAGGCCTGAACATCATTTGGGAGGCTACTGAGACAGTCCGATATGAGACAACTATTAAGACTAAGAAGGGCCAGATCAAAAAGTATGAAAAAATATTCAGAGCATGAGATGACCTGGAGCTATGTTTAGCGACTCAGTTCCCAAATGGAATAAGGAGGAGTTTAATATGGCTCTGTGGTTTCTAACTTGGATGACAATTTTTCATGTTCTTTTGATTGCAATTTTTGACATTCGGTTAGTAACATTCAAGCTGCAAACACATTTCCTAGTCTGCAGAACGGATAAATTCAGAGGATAAGATTCAAGGCATCATAGCAAGAACACAGGATGTGCCTGGGCCTGGTGGGCTCTGTTGGTTGGAACACCAGCCTATACACCAAAAGGTGCAGGTTTGACTCCCAGTCAGGTCACATACCTAGGTTGTGGGTTTGATCCCTGTTCAGCACATATGGGAGGGAACTGATTGGTGTTTACATTGATGTTCTTTCTTTCCCTCTTTAAAAACCAATGAACATATCCTTGGGTGAGGATTAAAAAAAACAAACAAACAAACAACACCTCCGACAGGATGTAGAGTCAAGAGGGTGTAGTGTGGGTCTGAGCTAGAACCCAGTTCCTTCTGAGTGTGTTCTTCAGAGCTCCCCACGCTGGATATACTAGTGCTACGTGAATGTTAGTTGTTATCTTGGATTTTTTTTCTTACCAGTTTAAGTGTAAAGTTTTTTTTTCATTTCTGTTAAGTCACTAGATATTCTGACTGCTGTGGAGCTGGATGGAGCATTAGGGATCCACTGAATCCTGGCTCCTTTCAGACATAAGACAGGCCAGATGTCTTAGAGTAGGTGCCAGAAGAGTACAGGTGAGGAGACTCTGTCCTAACTCACTCAGTGCTGTGTTCACTGTGCACACTCCCCAAGTGAGCAGAATGCTTCTGGTCTCTAAGGTTTCTGACTGGAGGCAGAATTGCTTGGTGGCTCAGAAAGCCTGCTCCAAGTCCTTCACCAGTGAGAGTTCTTTCATCTCTCCCTTTCTGTTTCCAAAATCTGTACATTGGGAATGATAAAGGTAGGGCTGTGTAAGGCTATCATATACAGTGCTTAGCATTTTGTGAGCACTTGACATATAAACCAACAGATATTATTTGTTTGGGATTTGACATGCTGACATTGTCCAGTCAGGGAGACCTACATGGTTTCTTGCACATGTGCTGACCTCCCTATGTGGGTAGCATTCAATGGGTGTATGTGGAACTACAAGTGGAGCTTCCAGTTCTATAGGAAATATAGGCTTCCAGTGGAGATATAGGCATGTGGCTGCTCTCGTAGTCCCCTCAGCATTGATAGCAGGGCCATTGGCAGCCTCAGGAAGCATTGATACAGTATTTGGATGCAAGAGAGATGACACCTGATTGGTGGACGGCATCACTGAATGAACCATGTTACCCCAGGAGATGTGGCTCCTCACAAAAAGGTCTGTCCATATGGCCCCACAGACTGAAAACCAAATTGAGTGAAAGCTTCTGCTACTGCAGTTTCTTAACAACTCTACAATGTCCTTATTTCATTTGAGAATTTGAAATTATTGGCATAATACTATCACAAAAATATACTATGAAATCACTTTCTTTCTGTTGGCCAACCAGAACTTCTACAATTAAAATTTTTAGCATAGATTCCGAGTAAATTCAAACTGATTGTTTAAATTACTTGTCATCAGCACTATAGCAACAGGTATTTAGTTTCTGTTTGTATTTACTTTATTTAGTACCTTACAGTTATTTAATAGCAACATAACACAAAAGCCAGGCAGCACCCTTGGAAACCTGTTGACACGATGAAGACCTGAGTGTTACCATAGGTGTAGGGTTCCTTCAGTGTAAGGAAATGCTAGAGAAATTTGGCAGGCATAACTTAGCTGATCAAGTCACATAGAAAACATAGTTGTTCAGCTTTTACAAAAATAAATTGTGCCATGTAAATTCTGATCATTGGATTATTTTATTTCAGGTTCAATTACTTAGTTACAAAAATTTTTTAGTAACAAAAAAAAAATCAATAGCAAATATCATTGCTAGAACATTCTACTTTCTATATCTGCTTGATGAATGTGATATTCCAACTGAATATATATCTTGATAATATAAGAACTAATATCAAACTATCATAATATAATAACTATACTCAAATAACAGAAATCTACTCAAGTACATAAAAATAATTTTTGAGAAGATATTTCAAATTTTTATAGCATTTCAGGGACATTAATATAAGTATCACTTATCAAAACAAACTACTGTAGCTACAGAAAATATATGAGATTCACATCAAGTGACTTCATGGTCCCCTAACTTGTCTAGAGAAATATGAGATGCTAATAATTAATATTAAGTAATTCAAAACAAATCTTCCTAAAAACTCAGTGATGTGTCTATGACTCAAATGATTCAAAGCTCAGAATTTCAAATTTATTGTTTTAGATATATTCATCTGTGAAACTGGTGAATAAGGATATAACATAATATCTTAAGAAAATTAAAGCCAATTGATAATTGCTTTTTTAAAAAGAATGCATGATTCACATCTAAAGTTACCTGATATTCCAGAGAAGGCATTCCTCAAGAGTGTATTGAAATGATTACATTTTTTAATGATCTATAAACAAGTCTCTGAAATAAGTTAAAAGAAATATTCTTAGTAATATTAGGCTTTGAGAAGTATTACTGTAAATTTATAATTATCTTCTAAGATTTCAATATTAATTGATCAGAACAGTGTTTTCATTGATACTTTTTAAGGTGACATCTTCTTCAAAACTAAATAGGAAAGCAGTTTTCCAAAAGTCTTTGAATGTCCCTAAGGAAGTTCTGACAAAGAGAGGAGGCCAGCCAAACACCTCCTAATTCTACAGACTGACCTGAATGTATGATGCGTTGCTGGTCAACCAAATGGGCCATATGAAAGGACCTTTTATTGAGGCCCCTGAGAAGCCCAAGTCCTACAACATTCAATGTGTCCCAGTAATAATTGTGGTCTCTTTCCCTTAAGTCTACAAGCTGTCACTCTATGACCTGCTTCTAAGTCTTACCACTCTGATAGGGAGGAAATTGAATCTAAAGAAAGAAGGAAAGAGGAAAATGTAATTAGTTTTTCTGTAAGGCCCATAACAGAAGGGTTAGTGCTCTAGCTTGTCTCTGGCTGTTATGTGGCTTCCTAAGAAGATCTGAGATTGGAACTAGGCTGCCAGGGAGGAAGTCCAGGGCCACTTGTCCTCTCAGTCATAATGGATAGCTGGATTCCTGAGACATGCTCCTCTCAAAGAGAATGGCAATGCAGGGGAGTGTCCTTTCCCTCCCTGGGTCTCCATTTCCATGTATGTGATGGAGATAAAATATATTTCTTTTAGGATTCTTTGATTTTGAAGAGTCCAGTATATTTTAAATATCTCATGAGCATTAACTATTATGATGATGATGATGATGATGATGATTTTTGATGCCTAAATCTTCTCACCTTGGCCCCAAGGCCCATACATTTGTCTAACAAATGGAAATAGCAAGAAGGAACTAATCTATAAGCAGTAATATCAGTTATTCCAGTAGAACTGTGAGTAAACTTATCCCAGGAAGAACTATTTCAAGTTAGGTTGATGTGATAGACTTGGTGGTCTATGGCTTTCCTTACAGAAATGATGACTCCCTATAAAATTTCAGTCCAGGTCTCCTGTTGGTGGGACTTGCAGCCTCATCCCTGTCCTGTTATTTGTGATGCTGGGAATGTCAGGGATGGTCAGTGCAAGGAAGAGGTATTGTTTGAGAGAATCAAAGCAGTGGTTCTCAACCTCTGGAGGACTGTTTTGTTACTGTAGGCTATATTTATGGAAAGATTTCTCCCATTTAGTCATTACAAGGTCTGATGATGACACTCAAATGAATGCCACTATTTATAGTGCTCCTGGTACCTGGCACATTTTATGACACAGGGAGGGGCATGGCCTCTAGGGCCAGGGTCTGGCTTGAATTTGAAACATGGATCCACCACTTCATAGTACAAACATGCGTGAGTTACCTAAGATCCCTAAGCCACCATTTCCTTCTTGGTAAAACAGGGAGAGTAGGAACATTGACCTCAGAAAAAAGGAGTGTTCTGTAAATGTTAATTGTCACTGCCATCTCATGTCACCTTCATGACATCTTGCCTGGTCATTGTTCTAGCCCCGGGTCACAGAATGTGAAACTAGGCTCAGAGACTTAGCTAAACTTGGTGTGTTCACTTTAAGCCTGTGTTTCAGCATCAAAGGAAGATTTCAGCCACTTCTACTTTGAACTTCAGAATTCTGATTATCCCTCATTACCAACAGCATAAGTTTTTAAAAAATTTTCCCAACTTTTATTAATATATAATTGACATATAACATTGTGTAAGTTTAAGGTGGACAATGTGATAATTTAACCTTTCAAAAATTTATAGTAAACATTGAGTTACATAAACCCAGTAACATAGTCTGGGAATGTACAGTA